TGCCAGAGTCGAGAGGTTCGCGCGCTCCTCCAGGGCGAGGGAAAGAAGTTTCCTCGGAACAAAATTTGGAGAATTTAGAGCAAATAAACTGAAATGCTAGGGTTTCATGGTTGAGCAAGTACTGGTAGCAGAGTGAAAAAGAAGAAGAAGAAGAAGATGCGAAGCAATCAACTGAAGTGAAGTCTGGCTTTTGGTTCCAGTCTTCCTCTTCCCTCCGCCAGGATCCAATTCGCGGGCAATTGGAATTACGAAACCACGGAGTCCGGTGGTGGGCCGGGGCGGGTCGGGTTGTGTACAGTTTCAGCCCGTTCAAAGTAACCTCACTTTTTTTCCTTTTGTCGTTGAGAAAAATGGGTGAGTCGAAATTTGCAAATAAATAGAGATTAAAATACTATTTTTTTCCCTACTTTCACTTTTGGATCGGTTTAATTTTTCTACTTTCTGGGTGTCCACGACATCTTGTCATTATTCTCTGTTTGTGAAATTTATTTGAAGAATATTAAGTATACTATCGTGTTTAAAAAATAAAATAAATGAACCAAATCAATTACCTTTTACAAAGTATAAAAATCAAAACAAACTTCTCAAAAGTCTGAAAAGCATAGAGAAAATAGACCAAACTTAAAAATATATGGACTGAAATGGATATTTTAATAGTACAGTAACCAAAATATTAAAAACAAAACAAAACAAGTATTAGGACTAAAATAGTATTTTAACTTAAAATAGCATAGTTACATGAAACATTAACAGTATATAATTTTTTTTCAAATTATCAAGTAATTTAGTTTGAGAATGATTTTAATTTTGGTTTTCTAATAATGACGTTCTCAAACATTACTAATAACATAAACAAAATTACTTGTAAATAAACTATATATATATATATTAAAAAAAAGTCACACAAATTAAACTGATAGTTTGGCATAAGTTATGCATAATTTAATTTATCCCACAAGCCGAATAAATCCTAGTCAAATGATTATTTGAAACAAATTGGCAAATTTGTCTATTTATTAAAAAGTTGCTCGGGCAGCAAAAACATGATTCTCGCTCATTTTAATAGACACAATAAGAGAAATAAAACAGAGATGTCATGTTGAATTTGACAATACGAGAATGTTTTCTCAAAAGTAATGGCTAACCTTAACTTAAGTAGCTCAGTCCAACAGCCATATACTTGGCACTGGGGATTGGCTATTGATGATATCTACAGACTCCATCTTTAATGATCCACAATGAACTGAAACTACTTTACCTCTCCTATTCCCCATCAAAAACCACTCATCTTACAATCGAAGTAAATGGACTGATTTATTGAACTCTATTACCTGAAGAACAGGACAAAGTTGGAAACTTCACTTAAAAGATTCCAGACATATTTCTTAAAAAATGTTTTATGAATCGGCGTTGCCATCTTTGCTACTGGAATCATCAGTTGGCTTCTCTGGAGTCACAAAGCGTCCACTCAGAGGATCGACGGGTCGAGTATCACGTGGTCCACCTTTACGAGCCATTGCGACCATTGGGGGTGGTGGAAGTACCCCTGCTCTAAAGAGAATACGCTGCACAGGTTCTGAGGGCTGAGCTCCAACTGAAAGCCAATACCTAGAAGGGAGAGAGTGAATGGTTACTATGAAAGTGAAGGGGTTATCATGCCTGATGAGTTTAAAATGGAGACACAGAACAGTAACAAAAAAGAAATGTCGCATGTGAAACGCAGTGATAATCGATGCTTGAACCACTTAAAGTGGATCTTCAAGAAAGCAATTCAACAACCACAAAACACAAAAGAGCGGAACGTCAAGGAATTGTGGGAATTTTAAAACTTCATACACTCCAAGTAAGCCACAAAAAGGCTAGAAAGCAAACGTTAAATGCTTCAAACTTATACATGATGTGTTTACTTTGATGCATTGCACGAGACCTTTGTATAATAGGAATGATCTTCCAAGATAATGATTCATCATTAAAGATTTATCCTCTTAGTTGCCTACTAGTTATTAAATAGAACTTGAAATAAGAAATGAAAAAGATAGCAAACTTAAGATTCTACATTCCAGAGGAGCAGTTTAGTTAATCAGATGCATAGTTGCTCTAGAAAGTCAGGATTTTCTCATTGTCTACATCAAGTCACTGCCCAGTTCTTGGTTAATGGAATTTTGGATTCTAATTTGCTGATACACTCCATGAACACACAATTCTCGTTTCCTTTTTGTTTATCAGAAAATCGACTCCTGAGCTACTTTTTGACAAGCAGGTGGCAGTACCATAATGTCAATTCCTCGCGAAACTTCATTTTTTTCTTTTTCTTTTTTTTTAGTGGCAAAAGGACATGAATAAAAAGATGGTCGATAATCTAAGTTTCCTCCTAACAAGACTCCAGCTTACAATATGAAAGTTTCAAATGTGAACGAGTAGAAAGGAACCACCAGTTTTTTTCATTCTTTACCGCCACAAGAAAATATAATAACTTCTTGGACAACTGACCTACTAACTCACCACCCACTCAAAAGCTCAAGTTATTGAATATAACATGTGGGGGTGGGAGATAGAACTCACAATCTCATGGTTGAAGATACATGTCAATTACCACTGAGCTATGCTCGCTTTGGCATAAAACTTAAGTTATTTATCTTAGATTGTCAAACTATGATAAATTTTTAAAAATTTAATATTTCTCAACATTTTCAACTCGTGTAGCGCAAATACTAATTCAATTCACAATATGTAACGCGAACCATAAATATGAAATGGAATAGAAAATGATCAACCACTAGACCCAGAAGTTTTAACTACTTCTTTTAGTTTATTAATACTAATTAAAAAGCTTATACTGTTAGACTAGGCTAGATTTAACCATTTAGTATTTCTCTATATAACCATAGGTATAGAATCATTCGAAGCCATATTAGCCTCAGATGGTTACCTAATTTGATATCAACTGAAACACCCCAAAACAAAAACTAAATGAGAACGAGAATTATCTTATTAACACTCTAAGAAATGTGTAGAAAGTGCCAGAAATTGAAAAATTTGTTGTAAAAGTAGATCGAAAAAGCAATAAGGAGAGAGTATTCCACAATGACCAATAAGTAAAGTTGTATTCACAATTGCAATGCAGCACTTAAATTCATAAACCATAAACACTATAGCATGAAGCAAGCTACAATTCAAAAGGAACCACTTACTTCACCCTTTCAAAATTAAGACCCATTCGTTTACCGCCATCTTGACCTGAAAAAAATTACTCGAATATCAAGGGAGAAAGAAAAAGAATGTTTCGCGATTCAGGAATCTGAAGTCGTCCATGAGAACTAGCAGGAGCAATCAAACACATTTCCCGAATAAACGAACCAAAAAAAAAAAGAGAGAGAAATTAACCTGGCAGGGGATTATAGTAACCTAGAACCTCGAGATGCTTGCCGTCCCTTGGAGATCGGCTATCGGCAGCCATTACCCGGTAAAATGGCTTGTTCTTGCAGCCAAACCTCGACAATCGAAGCCTCACCACCATTTTCGAGCTCGTAAAACCCTGCAAAAAACTTGGATATCCGCCAAACTGGAAAAAAAGACACCGGATTAGAGAACAGAAGTCGCGCCTCCGCTAGGGCTCCGGGTTCCCTATCATTTTCACATTCGGATCTCTAATGAACCGAACCGGGTTTAGGCCCAATATTAAACGGCCCACGAAACAAGGTTGCACTACGTTTCGATCTTAGCTATTGGGCCTCCATAAACAAGCCCAGGTAGTCTCTTTGTCCTACAAATTGCTACACACACCTTATAGTTAAGAAAAATGGCCAAAGTTTTTCTAAATTGCATGGCATTTTATCCTTCCACACATTTCATATCTATATTGCCCTTGCAATCTTTCTCTATTTTACCCATCCACGTTTTAGGCCTCCCACATTCCCTTATCCCTAACTAGCAATGTTATATACTTAATATTGAAATCACCTTAACTAGAAAATCTACATAATTCATAAAATCTTTCCACAAAATTTAAACCCCTATCATACTTAATATTGAAACCACCTTTAACTACAAAATCTATATAATTCCTAAAATCTTTCCACAAAATTTAAACCACCAAATCTACATATATGATTCAAACAAGTTTAAAATGTATTTAATTTCTTTAAACAAACCTAATGGTTTGAACATTCCACCGTAATCAGCAACCTTAAATACAGTGTTTCTTTAGTATTCTTACACAAGGTATCATTAATCCCCACCCATTTTATTTTTACATTTTTTCAAGAATTAAATGAATCAATGCGAGAACATTATGCGATCATTGTTAGCCACGGTTTTAATTGGGAGGAGCACAACAATTATCAACGGTTCATTACCGGGCACGTTTCAATTCCATTCGATTCCACCCTACAACAACTCTATGAATGTATCTCTAGAGATCTTCATTTTCCAGAAGGAAAAAAAATTACATGTCTTTCACTTTTCAGAAATGGTGCTGGCAAGTCGTTAATTATGAGGCTATTAGTAGATAGGGACGTGGCGTGTGCATATCCCTGTTGGCGGATGTCAGATGCAGCGACTACTGCATAGTTGTAGATACTAACCCTGTATATAACACCATCTACAGGGGTAGTGAAAGTTCAGACGCCGAAAATAAATTGAAAATTATGTGCAGAAAATAGTCATATTTTGCATCACATAACCTTTCTTTATCACTGCATCGGAACAAAGATCAATGCATAAAATATGGCAAAAAGGTAACCAAAACCAACAAAATCAAAAATGCATATTAGCAAGTCAAGGAAACATATATTAATATTTACCTAAGGGAGAAACGATGGATGTGTAAATATATGGCTACTAGAGGTTATCTCACAAAATAAGCGAGAGACGTCAATACAACGGGGTAGATATAGGATTCTATAGAATAGATGGCCATTTTGACTGGGTTATCCTTGTCCATCAACATTCATGACTAATATGCCACGATTATTACATTCTAAGAAGCTGCATTTTAATTCTTGATATATGAGAATTAGTCATCGAGTTACTGAAACATTACTCGAAAGAATCTTCCTATTGCAGCAAACCCAGTTTCTTAGAAAATTAGAATATTAACGAAAAAAGAAAACTCCACAAGATTCAACCATTGAATCAAGCCCAAAAAAAATTCGTCCCGTCGAAGTTTGGAGGCAATGGATTTTGAGAATTTCAATCTTTGAAGGAGGTTCTTTAGGTTCGTGCAATTTGAACGTTTTAGACTCTGATACCATATCAATATTCATAGGGTTTTATCTTGAAATTAATTGGCAATGAGAGGAGTAGCCGATTTCTATTATAAACTATTGTAAGGTCTCTTTTCTTTTCAATGTGGGATACTTAACATAATGGAGAAAGATAAATTTGACCATTAAACTCAATTAATAATATGTGATATAAGAAGAAAATGCAGAAATATAGAGGTAGAAGAAATGACTCTTATAGGACGCAAGAAGAATGAAACTACTAATACGCAGCAGTTCATGTAAGGAGAAATCAGCATTGAAGAATTTGGATCGAAAAGTACCGAACACGGATAGAAAGAGTTATTCATACTAACCTTCTCAATTTTGATTTTTCATAAATTTCCTTATACTAAAAAAAATAAAATAAGGATTTTAAAGTTCAAGAACCAGAAAGACACCGACAAATCAAATTAAGATCGAATGGGCAGAGTATAATTTAAACCTTTTTTTATATTTTTATAATAATTTGACTCTAAAAGTACCCAACTCTGTTTGCTATTAATGAGCTCATGTATTGTTAAAAAAACAGTTGTGGGTTCACATAGGAGTTGTTGAATCAGAAGGGTGGGTGTCGCTAATTAATTAAATAGGGCTCCTAAATTTGTGCTAACATACCACATAAAATGTAACAATAAACACGTTTATAAAGTCAAAATCAATATAAAACTTTAGTCATGTGCAAAATATGTTCGTTATTTCTTCGACGTGATCAAATAGTTTTATTAGTATGAATGCGATCCAAGCATCATACGCCACGTGATGGACTATTGAAATATTATAGTTGACCGATCGTGTTAAAAGAAACGAAGATATGGTCACCGATAACCTTAAATTTGTCTCTTTAATATTCTTAGTTTACAATATAGTATTTGAATTATTTAAAAATGTTTTCATTATTCCACAAGTAACTTGATTTTCTTGGGCATGGCAACTCAGCATCAGATGGCCGTGGGTGGCCAACTAAGTTGAAAATTTTCAAATGTGGGGAATATTGATTCATTATTTAATTTATTTATTTAGGGGTGAAGGAATTCAATTACCAGCGTGCGGTATCCAATTCCAAATCAATTGCGCCCCAAGATTGACTTTTAAAAATACAAAATCTAATTAAAAAGAATTCAAATATTGTTGATTTCTTTTTATTGCAAAGTATTGGTAAATTTCCTCGCTTAGCATGTACCAGCGTACATTAAACATTCTTTTTATTGTCAATTAATTTTGAGATGAAACTTAAAAACATTAATACGGAACAACATACATGAAACCGACGTCTCGACCAAGAATGAAAAAAAAAAATCAAAGACCACCAAATATGAGAGAAAAAAGAAGCCTTTTACTCCAATGGTTCATTCACACTCCCATAGCCATCTAAGAAGAACTCGTAGACTTTGAATGAAGAATTCAAATATATATATATATATATTTTTTATTCATTTATTATTTTTTTTTTACTTTTTCCCTTTTGAAAAGAAAACCAAAGCATTTGGTTTTGTTTGTTTTTTCTTTCTTACATTTTGATTAAAATAAAAGTAACGTATCCTCATTTAAGGGTGACAAAATTAAAATTCAAGTAAAAAATCAATTATAAATATGACAAATGAATTTTATGATGTGACATTTTGTTTAAGCATTATTTTAATTTTAAAGTTGCATGTTTACTAGAGATTCTAATCTTTTTTTAGTACTAATAATACGGGGAGTGAGAATTCCTTTTAATTAGAGATACATATGTTAAATGTACTAGTTCGCTCGTTTTTAATGAAATAAAGGGTTTTATGATAAGTACAATGATTATTAGGCAAGATTTTGAAGCTTATTATTATGAATAAAAAGTGAAAAGCGAGTTTTTTTAGTACAACAACATGTGGGGGCGATTGGGTAAGGATCTGAACATATGACCTTTTGATTTGGATATGTATAACCAACTGAATTACGATAATACTTGTTGTTTTTGGAAGAATATGAATTAAATTGAAACGAAATTAAAATAAAAATACTAGATTATTATTAAATAAAAAGGGAGATCATGAGCAAATATACATGAAAAGACATAAATGCGACGAAGTCCAATTGAGGTGTACTTATTAGTTATTATCGCAATTAATGAAGTATAAAGTCTTACTTATAAAACAGGTCATGAAACTTTGATCTTAATAACAGGACAACTCTCTATCTATTGACATTAATTACAGTTACATACGAAATTAAAGTCTTATTTGAAACTTCATCACTTGTCCCATATCAAAAATTAATTATCGACCAACCAACTACATTAGTCAATAAATCATATAGGGTCCACAAAAAATGTTACTAAATATCATACATTTTTTGTAAGTAGCCCAAATGTGGGGTGTGACAAATTAACGGTTCAAACCTCAAAATCAATTAAATTATGTTTAAGTTAGCTGAGTTAGCTTCTTTATAAAAATATCGATAGAGTGAGACATGGATGAAGATGACTCATCATCTCCGTCCCAAATCATTCCTTATCCCTGCAAACTTTTGCATTTGCATTAAACTTCACGGTGATTTTGGGGGCATTCCCCATAGAGAAATCAAGAGGGGGAGGTTTTTCTTTGCTTACTTTTCTCGGTTAAATAACATATTTGATCTCTGCACTTGTGCTAAAGTAACGATTGTGTTCTTGAATTTTAGTTTGTAAAACTTGGTCCATGTACTTTCAAATTGGTAATAATTTAGTCTGTAAAGTTTAGTATGTAACAATTTAGGTCTCAATAGTTTAAAGTTTGTAACGATTTAGTTTCTGTCGTGAAAATTTTTGTTGAGTTTTTTGTATATAGATCGATAAATCAATGAGAGACCAAATGTGTGTATAAATTACAAAAACTAAATTGTTATATGTAAAAATCGACACTTAATTTTGATGAGATTTTTCAACGTGTGGACTAAAATTTTACAAATCTTAAACTATAGGAATTGAATTGTTGCATGCTAAAGTTCAGGGACTAAATTGTTACCAATTTAAAAGTACAACGACTAAATTGTTACGATTTAAAATTCATGAGCTAAATCGTTAGTTTCTTAGCAAAAGTAAGACTAAACGTGTGTTTTATTTATTTATTTTTATAGTAAAAAATGTGAGAAAAAACTAAAATCCATATTTGAGGAGAAAAGAAAATCAAGACTAATTTAAGGGAAGGGAGGAAAATAAAAATATGTATTTGTGGTCTTAATATATATATATGTGAAGAATCGAGATCTAGGCGAGGTCGGATTGTAGGACTTGCGGTTTCGTTCTCGAAGCTAAAATGAAAAAGACAAAAACAAAAACAAAAATTCCACCACCCTCACATGACACCTCTATTTTTATAAACTTA